AAAGCATTATAAATAGTTATGTTTTTAAAAGAAAAAAAAACCACTATTGTTATAAATAACACATTCAATTGAACTAAATTATGCATGCCTATTTAAATGTATTTACACATGGCTTGTGTATATCGTATATATACAAATATATTATTCATACCTTCGGTGTATAGGACGTAAGCAGATACTGACATCAAATTTTGGGGTAAAAAAGTGCGTCTTATACACCGAAAAATACGGTAGTTATAATATAGTTTAGATATACATTCTTGTATTGTTTGTAGTGAGGTGTGTTTTTGCACGTAGCATGCCGGTGTGTAGTGAGGGAGGCGGTGGGCAAGGCGTATTACCCGGTTTTGAAGTGTCAGTAGTTGGTTTTGATTCACGTTACATGTTATCATTGAACCATAATCTATTAAAGGTCTGATAAATGTAGGTTATTGTCTGTGATCTGCATTCCTAAGTGTGATGACTTATTTTGTGAAGGTAAGCTATTCTGGTTTTAAGTTTCTTTTTGATTTCCTTGAAATGTGTGTGTTAGTTTAGGGTTGATAGTTATGCGTAGAAATTCTGCAGATTTAGAGAGTGTGATAGGGGTATTGTAAATGCTTAGTTTAGCTAACCTGACACGTTTTATTATTTTGTTCAGCCTACGGAAAGATATGATTGCTTGAGGTTTAGTGGGATTGGTTATTATTCTCCATTTGTTGCGCCACTGTGTGATTTTGTCAAGGGCTTTTTTCATTCGTTTTGCCGAGGTGCTCCATAGTGGTATGTCATCAACGTGAGGGGCGTGGTTGGCTGTGGTAGGTCGTTAACGAAGAGTGTATACAGCAACGGGTTTAAGACAGACCCTTGTGCTACACCTGCGCTAAACGTGAAGGGTTGCGAAAGTGACGTGTTAATTTTAACTTGCGCGGATCTATTATCTAGGAAGTTAGATATCCATTTAGTGAATGTGATTGGTATTTTTTGCTTCGTTAGTTGATATTTGAGTCCGTTGTGCCATACCATGTCAAAAGCTTTTCGTACGTTTGGGCGGCTGGGTACCTTTTTCTTCTTCTTGTAATAGTTGTTTGGGTTGTCTTGTCTTGTACTCCAGTCTCAGATGTGGGCTAAGTCTGAATTGCTTGGTCTATTGTGATTGGTTGGGTTTTTACAGTGGGTTGTGGAGTTCTGGTAGGCGGCGGGTGTTATTCGAATGTTGTGAAATATGGGCTTGGGGGTAAAATGGTAAGGGTAGGGATGGGCGAGGCTTCCGGTATGGTTTCTCTGGTTTAAAATGGTCGAATTCAAGAGAGAAGCCGTGGGTGAGGATGAAGTCTGCTGTCGGTTGAGAAGTGACAACTTTCAGGAAGTGAGAGGCTGTACCTGTTTTCTTGGATGTAATTCGGTGAACTGCATGGATAGTTGGGTTGGTTGAAATTTCGAGAGCTTGATGGATTTCTTCTGTGGTAAAGGATAGGTGAACGTTTCTGAGAAATACTGTGTAGAGACTGGCGATACTTTTGGTGGGTTTGAAAACCAAAGGCGGCAGAGGTATCGGAGATCCTCGGGGGTCCTGGGCTGAAGGAGTATACCTCCCTTTCAGGAAATACACGGGCTTCAGACTTGTATCTGTGGATGAAGTTGGCGGTGTTCCGTGGAGAGAAGTCGGCGGCGGCGTTGGATAGGGGACAGTTTGCTTGCTGGCAGAAAGCATGGTAAAATATCTGATGATGGTCATCTTGCTTGTTCCTCGCAGTTATTTTGATGTAAAATCAATTAATTCGAAAAAAATAATTAATCATTAAGGGTGTTCGAAGAGTGAGCAATCTTCCTTCACCCCGTGCGAGACTAAAGATTAAAAAATCCTAAGGGAAATCCTATTCGAGCTAAGTGGGCTGATTTTAAGTGGTTGTAGTTTGATATATCTGTATACTACTAAAAATCTGAGATTGTTTGTTTATGGGCTTATCTGTAATTAAATATAGCAAAAACGGAGCACAGTACCGCCATATTTGTAATGAAATGAGAATAGAAACAGAATAAAACAAGTTTCGTTAACATCGGGCCACAGGTTACCGAGTTAGACCCGTTTTTCGGGTCACATTTATGAAAATATCGGTTAATCTATCTATCTATTCGTTTTCTACCTGATGAATCATTTTAAAATATCTTCTATACAACAATATATGTACAACAGAAATTAAATGACGAGATGAAAATGTGTTATAACGGCGCCTAGAAAGAACAACAATAAAATGGACCTACAATATTATTGACTATTTCCAAATAGTAACTATGGAGACGAGATAATCAAATAAAAATCAAGTCGAAAACAACAACAAAATTTCATAAACGAAAACCTCTCGCCGAGCATTAGCTATTATATTATTTCCCTGTCAATGTTATTAAAACTCTGAGATTGTTTGTTTGTTTGTTTGCTTATTTTCTCAGTCAAAAAATAATTCACACTACCGTTCGCGCTCTTTACGAAACTTCATCGGGCTACGGGTTACCGAGTTAGCGCCGTTTTTCGGCTCACTTTTATGAAAATTTCTAGCATGAGTAATTTGACATCACATCACCGTTCGCGCTC